CCAAGAGTTCATGAAACTGGGCCTGCAAGGCGTGTCCATCGTCGTGCCTCCGGCGACTCCGGCGTGCAGGGCCGCGGCGGCTCGCCCACCCCCAGCGGCTGCCTCGGCAAAGATAACAAGGTCTTCGCCCCGGATTTCCCAGCAACATGTCCCTACCTCACCACGGCGGGAGGCACATACCTGCCCCCCGGGGCCGACGTCCACGCCCACGCAGAACAAGCAACAACCAGCTTCCCGTCCGGCGGCGGGTTCAGCAATATCTACCAACGACCAGACTACCAGAACGCTGCCGTCGAGGAATACTTCAAGACCGCCCAGTTGTCCTACCCGTACTACGAAAGCGTCGATAACAGCAGCTTTGCCGCCAACGGCGGAATCTATAATCGCATCGGCAGGGCTTATCCCGACGTTGCTGCTATTGCGGATAATGTGCTGGTGTTTAATAAGGGGTTGCCGACGTTGGTCGGGGGCACGTCTGCCGCGGCGCCGGTCTTTGCGGCCCTGTTGACTAGGATTAACGAGGAGAGACTGGCTGCTGGGAAGAAGACGGTCGGGTTTGTCAATCCCGTATTGTATGCTAATCCCGAGGTGTTCTTTGATGTGACGAAGGGGAGTAATCCGGGCTGTGGCACGGATGGCTTCCCAGCTACGAAGGGGTGGGATCCGGTTACTGGCTTGGGACGCCGAATTATCCGAAGTTGTTGGAGTTGTTTATGGGATTGGATTGAGGTTGTTGATATCAAGGTTATATGGATGTACCGTGTTAATTGTATGGACTAGTGTCCAAGGGAATTAATGCAGATATGTCGAATGTAGCTGATGAAGGGTGCTACGTCAGGAATGTTGTGATGTATACATTTTAGCTTTTAGTCATATATACTATGTATATGCACCAATCTATCCTCATTATGGATATACAAAAAACATCAATCATTAAACGTGACCAGCACATCAACAACACACTTAAACAATGACCTTGTGGTCAGCAGGAGCCTCCTCGGGCTCACCGAAGACATTAATGTTCCAGCGAGGCTTGTTAGCAACGTAGGGAACGTTGTAGCGGCGCTCGGTGCCAAGGGCGGTGACCTTGGCCACCTCGTCGGCGGTGAGCTCGATCTCCTCGAAGTTGGCGGCGATACGAGAGGAAGTGACAGACTTGGGGATGACACTGTGGCCACCGACCTGGGACCAGGCGAGGATGACCTGGGCGGGGGAGACGGGCTTGCCAAGACGCTGGCCGGCCTCCTCGGCGATGGCCTTGATCTCGGGGCGGGTGATGAGGAGGGGCTCGCCGATCATGTTGTTACCAAAGGCGGAGTAGGCAGTGACGTGGATGCCCTTCTCCTTGCAGTACTGGATCAGCTTGGGGCTCTGGAGGACGGGGTGACGCTCGATTTGGTTGGCAGCGGGGACGACGCCGGTGGCTTTGATGATGGCCTCGAGCTAGAAGAGGCGATATCAGTATCAACTATTCAAGGAGGTGGGGCGGTTCAAAGTGACTCACGTGCTCGACCATGTGGTTGGAGACACCGATGGCGCGGGCCTTGCTCTTGGGGAGCTTGGTCATGGCCTTCCAGGTGTCAACGATGGAGATGCTGTCGTCGATGATGCAATCGCCACCGGGGACGGTGCTGCCCTCGACGAGAGGGAAGTACTCGTTGCCGGTCTTGAAGGCAACGGGCCAGTGGACGAGGTAGAGCTATTATTGCTTTGTGTTAGTGCCTCTGAATCCCAGATAGGAAGGTTTAACCCCATCACATACATCAAGGTACTCGAGGCCGCACTCGGCAAGGCAGTCGTCGAGAGCCTTCTCGACCACATCGGGTGGTGCTGGCTGTTCCAGAGCTTGGAGGTGATGAAGACTTCCTCACGCTTGATGTTGAACTCCTGGAAGGCGCGCTTGATGCCGACGGCGATTTCCTTCTGGTTCTGGTAGATGGTGGCCAGATCCAAGTGACGGTAACCGGCCTTCAGGGCCTGGTAGACGGCCTCACCGACCTCACCGGGGGCAGACTGCCAAGTACCGAATCCCAGGGTACTGTGGAGATGGTCAGTGTTGACATTCCTTCATCTGTTCGTTTCCATGTAAACATACGGGATTTCGGCGCCGGAGTTGAGGGTAACCTTCTTGTGGAGAGACATGATGACGGTGAGTGATAGGAATAGGGGGAAGTAGTATAGAGGATCAGAGAAGAATGGAAAGATGAATGAAGAGAAAGGGAAGAACGCGAGGGCAGAGGTCAAGAATAAGTAAGTTTCTCAACTCCGGTGGGGGAAAACCGTCGGAAAATTGCTGGATTAAATTATCCGTTATTATCCTCAGACGGTACCCCGCCAGTCCCCGTGCCCGCTAAACCTCTTTGAGGCTACCCCTCGGTGGGGGTTCCTGGCCACAAGTACCTTTCGGGTAATTCGAGCCACCACTTGACATTTTGTTTCCTTGTTGTTTTCTGTTTCTATACAAGAAAAGAAATATGTACCTCGATGGGCACCTTGCGATGGACTTCAGTACATTTCCACGTGTCCTTACAATCGATGCGATGTCTATTGTTATGTGTTCTGTACGGTAAGTAAACTATATCAACTGAGGCACAATGCAATTGTCGGCGGAGACATGCATGACGTCAAGCGGCAGACACTCCTCCGGAACAAACAATTGTTACCAAATCAATTTCCCCTTTTTGTGAAAAGCTTCTGGAGACTTCCATCCGTTCAATCTTTTTTCTAGTCGGGAACCCGATACAGTAACTGGGGTTCGCTTCCCCGACCTCCGGACCTTCTCCGACCGCTCAATGTAGCAAAATACGGAGTCTGCCGAATATCAAAGATGCCGCGTCACGGGAATTGCTGCATCTGCACCCCCACATCCTGTACTTGGCCTCCACTCCACACTCTCATGGCCAGTGTTTGACAATTCCATTGGTGACCTGAGTGCCTCCGATTGCCAATCTTGATTCAGAACACTGGTCTATGGCCCATTACCAGTACGAGAAGGTATCGTGTCATCATGTTCAATGCGTGAGGTCCTCCCAAGTCAAGAAAGCTGCTCTCAATTGACATTTCTACCTCTTATATGCTTCTACCGCGACTACACTGTTTGCTCATTAACATCCCAACACATCGACCTTTCTCTCGACAGGTACCATATGACTGTTACCTCGTACTACTTATGATGTGGACTGTAGACAAGGTTGGGAGATATATCATCCTCGCAATTAAGTATCTGCAGTTACTACCTGTCGAAGAGCATATCAAATCAAACCATGCAGTCATGCAAATCTAATTTGAACAAATGCTCCGAATGATATGGATATATATTTGGTCACAGCAGAATGTATGCACAAACGGCTCCCGGTTCTGTATATATTTGTTCTTATTTTCCTCTTGGCTTGTTGGTCATTCTTGATTGCTCGAGGTCAGAATAAATTCCAGATAATGGAGAATGACTTCGCATTATCATAGTCGTCAAGGGTGACTGTACGTTTCCCTACGACAACGTGGGATTAAGATACAGACACCCTTTTGGCGAAAGAGACGTAAAGGATCAAGAGGAGCTAAATAGGGAAGTAGGCAGGTCTAGAGCCTCAGGGACAGTAAGCGAATATATATCCAGTTTGGTCAATTACTACTGAGCCAGAATCTGCCCAGGGTACCTTACTAGTGCCTCAAAACGTGTATTTAAGCATGAGACTATATCTACACCCAGAACTAGTGGCCACACAACTCAGCGAGGCGTTGAATGGCATTAGACTCTAACAGTAGCAATAATATCGATGCTATTTCAGTTTTGTGGCTTCATAATGAATTAAGTCCACCTCCAGGGCACTAGTTTCTTTGTACTTGTCAGAGTCTCTTCCCGAACCTTCTGTAATATTGGACATTCAATCCCTTAGGACACATTATGCACCCACTTCATATATGCCAGCTAGAGCGATATCACAGCAATTTGGCGAATCCTGTCCACAGACCGCGCGAGGTGAAGACACCGCGTGGATCAACTGCCCGTTGGATGTCCATCAACCTCTGTATATTCTTTTCCCCGTAGCCTGCAAAGACTCCCGAGGCCTGCGCTGCTGATGCATAGTTCACATAAAGAAATGGGTGCGCAACATCGAGGGTCTCAGCGGCTTCCCTGATTCTACGGATAGTATTCTCCGTCATTGTATTAACAGCAGCATCGTCTTGCGCATCAGTCCAAGCCGTAGATATCAAGATGACTGAGGCGTTGTCAGAAGGATAGACCACAAGTAGGCTCGAATAGGAAGCAATAGCTTACGAAAGAGAGGTTGATCCCCCTGTATACCGAGCGAGTTCCCTCCCCTCTGAGCCATGGCTGCAATTGCGGCTCGTGAAATCGCATAGGAGATGAGGTTGGGAACCAAGCCATCCACTGATTTTATTTCCCGGACCTCTTGTTCGAAGATCTCTACTGCTTGGGTGAGGAGAGAACGGGAGGGTACCACGGTTAGGGTCGCGAACAGGTGCCTGGTACATGACGGTTCAGTATGTATGCCAGAGAAGGAGCAAAGAATTGGCATCAGACAGGCCCAGTACACACCTTGTGGTACCCAATGGCCCAGAGTCTCGAGTCAGGTTGCCCATGTTTGTTATGGTAGTGCTTCTTGTTAATGTTGGTATATGGTTAATAGCTCTGAATACAGGTGGGTTCCGTATAGGCTTCGCATAGCGTTGGGTGCCCGATAGGATGAAACTGTCGTCCGATGAGGCATATGTATAGTACATATCATAGCCCATGTCTACATCGCTAGTGAGAGACTCATCAGTGAAGAGCTCATAAATCCGGTCGAGGACCAGTTCAGTCTGATTCTGGGAATAGGTTGTCGTAGTCGTAGAGACAGGACCCTGGGTGAATGTACGGACAGTGAAAGCTGTCACAATGCCGAAGTTATTCCCACCCCCTCTCAGAGCGAAGTACAGGTCGTGATTGTGAGTCTCATTGGCGATGGCGATTGTACCGTTTGCAAGGACCACCTGTGCTTGTGAGTATATCGCTCAGGAGGCGGGGTAAAGACCTGAGAACATGGGAATGATGGTGTTCCAGAATCCTGGAAAGATTAACACACCTCATATTCATAAACATTATCCAACGCCCAGCCGTACTTGCCCGAGAATGGCGATGTACCACCACCGAGTGTGAACCCGCCAACACCGACCGTGCCAACTCTTCCACCAACAAAGGACAGATTATGAGCGTCCAAAGCGTCGTACACGTGGTACGAGGTTGCACCGCCGCCAACACGCGCCCTATCACCAGGGTCTAATATATCGACCTGTATCATGCGGTCCAGGTCCACTGTAACACCTCCTACAGAATTAGAGTCCCCTGGATTCCGTGAGTGACCACCGCCCTTAACCGAAAAGTAACACCAGTGGTGTACAAGAATGTCGAGTACCTGGGAAACCTCCGATGCAGTGGATGGCTCGACCCGGCATGCTGGGCGAACCTCCTGTTGCTTCGCGTCCCAGATCGTGAAGCTGTCATTACCGGGGTAGTGGAGAGCTGATCCAAAGACAGTGGATAGTGTGGCACACTGATTACTGTTAGACTCGAAGAAGGGGGCAAATCGGCCGGCATCAATAGGAACTTACTGCTTGCTTGCAGTTTGCGGATACTGTGCTGTTTAGCTGAGTGCCATGTTGCATGGAAGAGAGGCCATAAGCTGCGGCGTTAATTCCAGCCAGGATGTAGGCCACTGAAACCATTGCTCTCATCATGATGGATGCCTTGTGAGGTGATGGAAACATGCAACAGCTGGCGCATACACCGTCTTTATACCTGTCTGAATGACAAGTTGGCCATCGTAGCAGGCAGGGGTAACAGCTAATGTTCGGTGCGGTATTAGAAACCCATCTATAGAAGCCGACTGGGAATGTAGATCCCTTCCAAGGACGACTCAATTGAACAGGGCCTCGAGTCAACAAAGTCCTGCTCCCTGCGATCCCGATCGGAAAATGCGTGGGATAATTGTCGTCCTCATCCCGTGTTTCGTAAGCTATCTCTCGGCGTGCAATACCCGGACGCCATTATTCATGATGTTCACAGGGGCTCTCAGACTCAATAAGTGCCCTAGGCACCAGGGAATAGACACGGTTGGCTTGGCGTCAAGTTGTCCGCATTCCTGAATCTTCGTCTCAAGGTTGATCCATCGAGTCAAGTGGGTACCATTTCCCAAGGTGGTCAAGCTTCATGCAGGTGTATGACAGGATGGGTCGATGAGATCGTTTTAACTGAGCCGTTTGGCGGTTCTGGGCCCGCTCAGCCAAGCTATCTGATCAACTTCCCCTACTCGTTCAATGACGCAGCATACTCTAATCGCACCCAGCGGCCATTGACTACCAGCTGACTTTTCAGCCGAAGCTTGGGTGTAATAGCTTGAATTTCCTTTTGCATCTCAAGTTTCTCCAACTACATTGTGGAAATTGTTCATGGTTCTGTCAGCCGGTTGCATCAACGCCACCCGGGATCTCTTCAACCGCAAATATGGACCGTCCAAGTGTTAATACGCCATTCCTCATTGAACGAAACACTGGGTCGGAGCCAGGACCACTGGGCGAGAGAATTTGTGTACGGCAATTTTCTGAGCGCATCACAGCATGGCCAGAGGAAGATTGGTCAGGCATTTCTGATTCTAAGCAGCGCCGGAGGCTGCAGAATCGGCTAAACCAGAGAGCGCGACGTAAGTAGTAGAGCCTAGAACTCCCCTGCCAGAAAAGCAAATGATTGATAGCTTATCAATACAGGCCTGCGGAACAAACTGGACACTCAAGCCCCACCTGATGACCAGGCGAGTGATAGTAATACTCGTTCGTCGGCCGACAGGGGAGCACATGCTCTGGCGGTGGTGACCACTCCAAAGCATCGTAAACAACTTTCGAATAGAGCTGGGATTAGTGGCAGTGGGCCGGCGATCTCTCTGGCAGCAATCGAGCACGTACATATTCTTGAGCCAGACTCGGTTCATACTAAGAGGGTGTTGCAGCAGCTAGAAGTCATAGCGCGCACCCAGTACGTGCTGGGTTCCCCGCGTACTGACTTGCTGCTCCACCTCATCCAGTTCAACTTTACAAAGGCTCTAATAGAGAACACGAGGGTTCTCGGGCTCACCTCGGAGCAATTACATGACGATGCAATTTCGCCGTTTAATATCACCGGCCCTTGGCCGTATAACTTCGAAGCTTCTCTTCCTTCTAGTCTCCAACCTACCGCCATTCAGCGCACGATACTTCATCATCCATGGCTAGATCTACTCCCAGTCCCTGAAATGAGGAATAACCTGATTCTTGCTGAAGATTCATATGACGAAACTCAGCTTTGCCTTGACATGAAAGGAGCTGTAAGCGTGAGCACGAACCAAACAGGCATTATTGTTTGGAGGGACCCATGGGACCCATCGGGATGGGAAGTGACCGAATCCTTCGCTCGTTCTTGGGGATGGGTGATTCGAGGCTGTCGGGACCTCCGTCGCTCCACAAACGCTTGGAGAGCACGAAGAAATGAAAGACCGCTTTTTCGGGTATCATAGCACGTGGAGATGATTTCAGTACCACAATATGTTACGTGCATCTCGCCCTGGCAAGAGGGGAGGCTAAAGTAGATGCGCCTTCCGTAGCAGCATTCACTCTTTTGGAGATGAATTTCAAGCGTTATTTGTTACACATGCTACCTATCTTTACCCTCGTACGCATCTTACTCAATAGTTTTAACCCTGAGCGAGTGACGCATGCAGTAAGATCATCACTCCAGCGTCGTAGGCTATTCGTTCTTCGTGCGACAGCTGAAGCAGCTTTTCTTTGGTCATCGATCCCATGGACTCCTCCCAGGCATGGCGAATGAGCATGCCTGGAAGGTAAAGGGGGAAATTCACATAATATAACACCAGTAGACTTGATTCCTGATGGTCCTTTGCGATGTCTAGAACTTGCTCGACGGTCAGTGTATTAGAGTGGAGGCTCCACCGGTACCAGGCCGGAGATACCGGAGGAGATAGTTTGGCTGCCACCCAAGCGATCCACGGTATTAAGGTCTTAGCTCCACCAATAAATCCGTTGTCATCATTGTGCAGATCTGCTTAACCCGATCCGTGAGACACTAGGATATGTCATCGCAGCATTTGCTGGGGTGAAAGCTTCAATCCCCCCACCACAAAGTATTCTTCCAGAATGTATCCTATCGGTTAGAGACTATGCCGAATGAATTATACTTCTCCACCACGAATGGTCTGGTTCAGTGTTAGCAGGAACCTTAGAGCGACGAAAATCGACTTGAACTTTCATTGCCACTAGTTTCATCGACGACATATATAAAGGGCCCATTCTACCTATTTCCGAGCTTGAAAGTCACTCCCATCTACTCTCATCCAATTCTTCAATATCATCATGTCTATCTTTGCCCCTGCACCAAAGCCCCCAAGCCTGCTGGGCTACCACCGTGTGTTAGCACCATCGCAGGTGTAAAGGTCTCGCCCCTATGCCTCGGAACAATGAACTTCGGAACTACATGGTATGACCACCTATTTGTGCTGTGATGGCTGGAGTTTAACAGTGGCTTCCTGATATAGGAAGGATTTCATGGGTGAATGTAGCAAGGAGCAGTCATTTGCACTGCTCGATGCCTTTTACAAACTGGGGGGCAATTTCCTGGACACGTAAGTTCAACTCATGCCATTCAACATGTGATCTCACTGACCTCAGTGGCCATACAGAGCGAATAACTACCAGCAGGAAGAATCCGAGATTTGGATAGGAGAATGGATGAAAGAGCGCCGTAACCGTGATCAGATGGTGTATGTACCCTGCAACCCATCACCCATGAAATCTGAATATCAATTGACTTCCATTCAGAATTGCAACCAAGTACACAACTGGCTTCCGTACCTCACATCGCGACACAGAGCCAATTCAGTCTAATTTCGTGGGAAATTCCGTGAAAAGCATGCGAATCTCGGTCGACCAAAGTCTAAAAAAGCTCCAGACCGATTATATCGACCTCCTATATGTCCACTGGTGGGATTTTACCTCATCCGTCGCAGAGGTCATGCATGGACTAAACAACTTGGTCAACTCGGGCAAGGTGCTCTATCTTGGTGTTTCTGATACCCCGGCTTGGGTGGTTGTAAAGGCAAACGAATACGCCCGAGTGCACGGGCTGCGGCCGTTCTCTGTGTATCAGGGCAAATGGAATGCCGGCTTCAGAGACCTTGAGAGAGAGATCATCCCTATGTGTCGGGATCAGGGCATGGCAATCGCACCATGGGCACCGCTGGGTCAAGGCAAATTCAAGTCTTCGGAGGCGCGTAGTAGTGCTGACGCGGATGGCAGTGGGCGAGCGTCTAACATGAGCGAGGCTGATATCAAAGTATCTGATGCGTTGGAGAAAGTCGCTAAGAGAAAGAAGACTACTCTGCATGCAATTGTGAGTATCTATCTAGTTCCCTCCACATCTAGCATTTCAAAAACAGTTATAGGGAATATGGGCTAACCCCACATGTACGACCATCAGGCACTAGCTTACGTGATGCATAAGACGCCTTACGTTTTTCCTATTGTCGGTCAACGGAAGGTCGAGCATCTCAAGGCGAATGTGGAGGCATTGAGCGTGAGCTTGTCTGACGAGGACTTGACCGAAATCGACAGTGCATCCTCGTTCGATATTGGGTTTCCAATGAACTTCATCTTCCGCGACAATTACACAACGAATAACACTGCTGCCGATGTCTCTTTGACCCGTGTGTCGGCTCATATTGATGCGCCTCCTAATCCTGCCCCTGTTCGGCCTCGATACCTGGTATGAAGTGCAATTTGGTCTACATGGTCACTGCCTCCAGTGAGGGCTCTTAGAATCCCAGGCACCATCTGTAAGACGCATGCTAGGAAATAAAACAGGGACATATTATCAAATTTTTTTTCAATAATAACATGAGCAGTTAAGGTAACATACCTTTTGGTCGGAAAGCAAATCAGGTCAGAGAACCTCTATATCTATATATATTGCAAGGGTTGTCATAAATTGAACCCTTCTGCACTGCAACTTGCTGAATAGCTTGAGTATGGTAAAGGGCGTGGGAAACGGATAGCTTTCTTGATTCCATAAACCCATCCAATAGTGACGGTGGCTGCAGTTGACCCCCCATCTATCTTCTGTAGCGTCCTTGGTAATGTCACTTATCGAGATAATTACGTCTTCTATGGAAAGATATGAGCCTCGGAGTAGTTTGGACATGGTTTTCGAAAGCAACGCTAATTATTGATAGCCCTCCAACCACAATTGTCGACTGACTAGTACTTCGAATCATATATAGTCAACTGCCGGCTAAACCGGAGAATGATATTTTTGTGGTCTAGGTACCCGAATGACAGCCTGGGTAAGATCTCTTCAAAAGTCTTGGCAGCAATTATCCTATTTTTCTTTTTTTTTTCTTTTTTCTTTTTTGAGCCTATGTACGGAGTATATCGGAATAATATGCTGTATGAAATGTAACGTCGGGATCCCGTACTCGGAGACCGCTGATCCCCTACGGAGCACACCACCGGAATATCCTCCAACAACTCTTAATCGGTCACCGAACCCTCTTTGTATGTCGTGTGCATAGATTGATTTCCTCGGTAAATGAATTCCATATACCGTACTTGTGGAATATAGAATCAATTTATGTCCCCTTTTGCCTATTGCAATTTCTATACTTGAGTGGAGGGGCATCCTTAAAATTTAAGATCGACAGGGATAAAAGTTTTCGAAGACTAACCACACACGGCGCAAAGAAAAACAGGTTGTTGGGTATCAACAGAGAAACCTTACGTGGGGGGCATAATACTACACCTACGAAGATCTAGAACGACAAGGGTTTCTGCACCGTAGCTGCAGAGTTCAAGTGGATCTTTACTAAGTAGACTAATCTGTTAGGTAATTAGTGCACTCTACACTTGTGACTAGGACATTCCGATGCATTTGACAGTGTTTGGAGCAGAGACGTACGGGTGGGGCGTGCCATTAGTCTTTTTCCCAAGCATATCTTAGCTATCTTAGCTGCGCGTCTCCCGGCAGGCAAAGAACGATCAACACTCTCCGTCTGTGCACCCCTTGCACGTGCAAGTATGTCGCCATGAGAGCCATTCTCACTGCTCTCACTTCTAACCGCTACTACGCGCACGACCAGCCTTGGCAGTGGACCCGTTATGCAGGATTTGTCTCAAGTTTCGAGACGGACTGCATACCCTGCATATGGTCCAGTCATCTTCTAGCTCTTTTGCTCATCGCTATCATGACGAGCTGGAAGAGTTTTATAATTTGATCGTGGCTGCTGATGATCGCCGGATTATTACGGCTTCTAGTTCTATCCGTCAAGCCGCGGTGGATCCCAAGTATGTAGATTATGAAGAATCCCGATACACATATTCGATGTTCTAATCCTGCTAACTGCTTTGGTTATAGCTGTGGCTCTCTGTACTTCACATATCTCAGCACATCTTCCGGTGCTATGTCGATCATTCCCAGTCATTGTCCACTGTGTCTTGCCCTTCGCTCAGCGTGCTTCGTGTTGCAGTAGAGGGTCAGCAAGTGAAATTACAGTGGGTCAGATAATTCATCACGTCCAGGCATATCCAAGGCGAACGGCATTGCCGGCTGTGGACCTTTCTGTAGAACTACAGGGATACTCGCGGAGCCCTAACAAGACCCCCTATGTGATGGTAAACCACATGGCCAAGACCCCAGTCGTTATTGGGCATACTACTCTTATCATGACTTTCTGACTATCGTCCATATTCTCTATCTGTTGCCCTAGGATGGTGGACCTACTTGATAATCTTTCCCAGCTCGTCAGTCGATAATCTCGTCATCGCCTTGCTGGTGGATTAATAATGTGGGATGGTGGGGGATAGATGTAAAGGCATATAAGGCTCTAAATATCCAGAGGTGGTCGTAGTTATATCCGTAACAAATCAGTCAAAAACAGCTTTACTGAAATGTGCAATATTCAATCCATTAGATATCATTTTGTCTCTTCTTGCACTAGTATCCTCAGTCCACATTGTCAAGCGCTTCAGAAGTATACACCCACCTTCTGAAATGGGGCAACTCAATGAGACCAAGGCTCCTAAGGTAGCCAGTGTCACAGTGTCTCCAACGCATAGTATCGGTAAACATTCACCTCCTTCGGAGGATTCTCTCGAAGTCCAGCAAGTATCGCCCCCAGTCTATCACATCTTCTCCCGATCTCGCAAGTTAGAGATGGTGGTTATTGTCTCGCTTGCGGCGATCTTTTCACCATTGTCCTCCAATATCTATTTTCCCGCCCTTGGAGATATCTCAAGAGTAGGTTAACCCTTGCGTGTACAAGTCTATTTCCAGCCATAATTAAATGGTCAACTGTCAGGATCTTCATACAAGCATGACCCTAACAACTTTGACCGTCACCATATATATGATCGTTCAGGGAATTGCACCGACCTTTTGGGGCTCCATATCAGACACCTCTGGCCGACGGCCCGTGTTCATTGGAACCATGATTGTCTATATCATCGCCAACATTGCCCTTGGTGTATCTACTAACTACGGCGAGCTTATGGCATTCCGTGCCTTGCAGGCTGCTGGAAGCGCAGCTACAATCTCGATAGGTTCGTCATTCACCGACTAGGCCTGACTTCGGCCAGAACTAAAACATCCCTACAGGAGCAGGTGTCATTGGTGATATCACAACTTCGGCGGAACGAGGAAGTCTGGTAGGGATTTTTGGTGGTGGTGAGTTGCACACTACCTCGAGACTTTCTACAAGAGCTGACAGTATATCAAGTCCGCATGCTTGGTCAAGGCATTGGCCCGGTCTTTGGCGGTCTTCTCTCGCAGTATCTTGGATTCCGATCGATCTTCTGGTTCCTCACGATTTGCGCCGGCGTCAGTCTGTTAACTATACTCGTACTACTTCCTGAGACCCTGCGGTCGATTGCCGGCGACGGGACGGTCCCTCTTCATGGCCTGCAGAAGCCATGGCTATACTATATCATTGGACAGCCGGGTGCTGAAGAGGGCGCTGAACCCAGTCTCAAAAAGACCAGGGTGACTCTTGGAACTGTCTTCGCGCCTCTCAAATTCCTGGTGGAGATTGATGTCTTTATTACTCTTTTCTTCGGAAGTATTGTCTACACAGTGTGGAGTATGGTCACATCCAGTACCTCTGACCTGTTTGAGCGAACATACAACTTGACCACCCTTCAGGTCGGACTCACGTTTTTGGGCAATGGTAAGACAGTTAATCTCAACTCCAATAAATACCACAGTTAATACTTACACGCACCAGGCTTAGGATGCATGTCAGGATCCTACACAATCGGCTACCTAATGGACTACAACCACCGTCTCACCGAGCGCGAATACTGCGAGCGACATAACTACCCACCCGGCACACGAGTGAACCTGAAAACACACCCAGACTTTCCAATTGAGACCGCGCGTATGCGCAACACTTGGTGGATTACAATTCTGTTTATTGTGTGTGTCGCGGTCTATGGTGTTTCGTTGCAAACTCATCTCGCGGTCCCTATCATCCTGCAATACATTATCGCCTATTGCTCAACTGGCATCTTCACGATTAACAGTGCGTTGGTAATTGATCTCTATCCAGGTGCTAGTGCTAGCGCCACCGCTGTCAATAATCTTATGCGGTGTCTGATTGGTGCTGCGGGCGTTGCGGCAGTACAGCCTATTATTGATGCGTTGGGTCCGGTGTATACTTTCATTTTACTTGCTGGGATCACCCTGGCTCTGTTCCCTTTGCTGTGGGTGGAGACGAAATATGGAGCCGGGTGGCGACTTGCTCGACATCAGAGATTGAACAGCCCTCGGGCTAGGTAAGGGTATATAGCGAGAAGCTGGATGTGTGGAACTGTGGTTGAAAAGGTTTTGGATAAAAAGTGTTTCTTGTTTTCCGTGATATGGTTTGTCTAGTATTTCGTCACACCATACTTATTTCTAGTTCAATATAGACATAGACGACTCAAGATTTACGTATGTTCTCTGATGATGCATTTGACGATTTACTATCTATCCCTGTCGACCTCCACAGTGCCCTCGCTTCATGTACAAAATCTCAATTTTGGTGCACCTGTGGTTGATCGCCTTTGCCACCTTCTATAAGGGTTCAAGTAAATCGTCTTTATGGAGTTGACTGTGTAATGTGGTATCTTGAATTGTCCAAGACACGGCCAGTGTCCAGTCAAGAAGTAGGATGCAATGTAATATATGGACAGATAGAACAGGAACCATTCTCGAGACGTATATAAATGAGGGTATTAACAGCCCTGGTTTCCACCAACTGGACTTTAATACTTTCAGTCTTTGTATTAATAAAACGAAACGGTTAGTAGATGGAAAAAGGTACAACATACTGTTATCAGACACAGGATTGGAAGGTCCTCGTCCTAGGAGAATCTCTTGGCGATGATGATGACAACAACAAGAGAGGTTCATAGCCGAATCGAGGATACGGATTATGGAATCAGACTAAGGACGCAGGCTGTAAAGAGGTCAATTATGAGTCTTCAACATGGCATCGCACTTAGTATTCCATGTCCATCAAGAAAGTTATAGAATGCTGTAGGGGTGTATCTTTGAGCGGTTTCCCGGCGTTAGGTAGCCATGCTTTCCTCCGAGGGCGGGGTAAGTAGGGTTTACTCATGCACATCCCATTAGAAATCACTACCTTTTACTCGGTACTCCGTCTTCCAGCCACTTCGTCATTCTGCCCTATTATGACCACAGGAGCTTGATAACCGTACAAAGCCTGGGCAATAATAGAGGGCATAAGGGTTGAATACCTAATGGATTATTTTTGGTAGGAGACTAGTGAAACCTAGGGGCCACGCAGCCGACCACTCCTGCCTCTAGAAATGCAGTTCTACGCCTGTGATCTACATACTATCAGTTACTCTGCGTGGAATACAATCTACAAAATCATACATACCGACTTTGTACTGTGAACTTTATAATGTGTCCCGAAAGCTCCATTGGTCGTACCTTTCTGTATTCCCGATTAAACACATGACACACATATACTATGTAGACATAACCATGCCCGACCTCTCCATACCTTAGCTGGAATTGACTTGCCCAAAGTAAATTCCGATAGCCTCCCGAACTGTGAGTGTTTGAAAATCGGGAAACATTGCGTTCAAAGTGTCCTCTGTGGGTAAATCCAGATCTCCATTAGCAGCCCAGCTTCCACAGGCAGCGAGGATCTTCATGAAAGCCCCCAAGTCCATTTGAGGAGGCAGACTGGCGGCTACGGTAGGAAGAATCGTGCATTCCCCCTTAAGAAGAGTCGCCATTGTGTCATCGTGTCTCTCAAAGGTGACTCCTTTGATCTCCTCAGCAATACGCAGAAAGTCATTCAAGGTCAGCCTGTCTCCAATCACACAATATCTTTTTTCCCATCTACTGAGACCAAGAACCTTGACAACGAAACGGCTGATGTCCTTCGAATGTGTCAAGACTAACGGGGTGTCTCCATTACCGGGGATTGCGGCAAAGTTATTGTCCAGATCAACCCAAGAAGGCGCATTGAAAGCGAAGGCGGATGGTATGCGGGGCGAGAACCAATAGTCCATAAATAATCCGTTGGAAAAGAGTGTGTACTCTAGACTTGATGCCTCAAGAAGTTCAATCGCTTTAAATTTGAAAGCATAGAGAGGTAATGCTGCAAGATGACTGGTGGACAATAATCAGCATAGCTTGCGCAATACGGGAATGTTTGTATGGTACCTTGAATCGTATTTCGCACCAAATTCACTTGGCATGAATCTCTTGGTGGCTTTTGACCGATCAGCTGCCTCAATGAGATTCAGTTGAGCCTGTCCGCTAGCTTCAGTCTGCAACGAGACCGCCGAGATGACCGTATGAACCTCATGTTCTTCGAGGGCACTTTGTAGACCTTTGGGGTCCGAGTAGTCCACGGCGAGAACCTTGGGATCATTTGAGACGTTCCGGCTGAGGACAATACATTGATGGGAACCATCTTTCTCGAGTGCCTTGACGATGGCCCTGCCGATACCGGTGGTGCCGCCTGCCACTGCGACCTTGACCATGATGGAAGGGAAAGTTGTTCTGGAAGTGTTTGATGGGTATTGCCAGTTGCCGTAATTCATATGATATAGTAGAGTTGATGTCAGGAATAGTTAACTTAGGCCTCATAATTGAGAGCTCTCATGAAGAGCATCTTTATACTAGGTGGCCAGCCAATAAAACCGCCCGCCGGAATGCGGGTAACTGGGAGCCGGCCGGGCCGGAAGGTTGGCTGGCGCTAAAAGTCGGCTGCGGGGCTCCCGGCGGCGTTGTTATTCTCCGGCAGATCCGCCCTCGGTCCATGGGCTTGACGACCTTGACATCGATTCAGACACTCTGTCCCGTCCCGAGAAGCCATGCTCACTGGTGTATGACACTGCAGTGGGATTATATCATTTAATAGAGCATGAATTTGCTCCGTTAACGCTTAGCATTACCTCCACCTCCGCTTTTGATGCTTGATGAACTTCGAAAGTATTAGGATGTTGCCTCAGAGGCTGCAAAGCTCTGCTGCCTTGCACGCCTTTCGCAAACAGAGAATCAGTAACCAGCAACTGCAGTATATATACTTACAGCAGAAGGTAAGCATTATAATTCAATGTCCAAACTCCGACGTATCATAGGGATTGTGTAGATTTTGCCAGTCACGGAGTAAACACCTTCGATTCGCCAGTATATTCCCTTAGATACTTAGTGAAAGACAGGTACTTCCCTTTATGAGATCCAATGAATAATCTTGGAGAGTTAAGTATTCATGTCAATGAATGTTACACCCTCCCCTTATATGTACTAGCCACATATGTATATATACCATCCTATCTCTACTTATCTCCAAAGCTAACCTGTAACTCCAATTGGCCAAAGCTGTATCTCTACCGCAGAAACCTGAGCTTAGCTGAAGCCCTTATTCCTACTATGTGCGAACATAGGAGAGGGCTCCTGGCGAATATGTTGTCTCTATCTATTCTTCCCTCATGAAAGAAATAAAGCTCATGACTCTATGTGAGCCTTCCTCGCCAACTTCATTCTATCTCTCTTCCTGGAATCTCCTAACCATCAAACATTTGTATCCTGTAAGTATCATACTATCTGGCTTCATGTTTTGAAGCCATATATACTAACCCGCCAGCCACCGCTATAGGCTCCTCCCTACCTGCCAGGGAACCAAATCACTACCACCCTGTGATTTTGAAAGCTCATTCCCTCCTACTCTTCTTGCTGTATCCCTGTTAAGGGGACTGGCCATGCTCATTCGTCGGACCAAGGAACCTACCATGAGACACGGAAGAACCAACTGTAGATATCAGCTGGTTTTCATGAAGTCCTATAGAGCAGACCAGCTGCTATCGAGCCATAGTCCTGGATAAATCTCTCCTTCCCAAGGGCCCTGGAATATATGATACCAATGCCAGAGTCATGGACCCCTGAGTGTCTCACGTTCAAGGCCCAAGGTAGCCGCTAGATGGGTGTGGAAAGCTACGCCGGTTGAATATTCCTGACTCAACTCTGCGAACTGTACGACCCCTGTGATTCTGTCAAGTCCCTCAATTCTGCCAAGTGGCTCCATCAGCCGACACCGCTTCTAAGGCATGTCATGACTTCAGTAGATACGCGAGCGAAGTCCTGGAAGCTCAAGACACCCGTCGGTTTGTACTGGGCTTCACATTATATGGGCCCAAAAAAGAGTGATTGCTTCAGCACACACTCACATGTGTGTGTGTGTTTCCTGTTAGCGTTTCGATCGACGCTTGTACTAGGTCTACTTCACCCCAGGTGATTAATGGATGGAACTGGGACGATATGCATTCATATTGTCTTTAATCCTTGAGGTCACAAAGGGCGGCTCGCGTTGACAGGCCAGAAATCGGAGACTCTCTGCCTCGGGGCGGAGACCAAGTTCAGCATTCACAGTGTCGAATGGGGACCCAGGGGCTCAGAAGCCGACATTGTCATTGTCATGTTGATCAACAATTCGGCGAATTGCTTGCTTAGATCTCAGCGGCTCAGTGCGGCCCCTGTAGGGAAATGGCTGTGAGCAAAACTCGGATTGGTTAGCATACCCACAGCTGATGTGTAGCTCAGCACTGGGTATTTCTGCTGGATGTGATCCTAGAAATACCCACGACGAACTGTAACAGAGGCAACACATTATGGATCTCAGTGCTCTCGGTCAGTGGGCTATAAGCGCTATACACTTGACAGTATAAGAGATACTTTACCATGTTGAGTTTCCTGAAAACTACCAAGTCTGCTACGCAACAGAGCAAGTGCATTGGATTTAAGCGCCGTCAAGGCTTTTGTGCAGATGGGGCGTGTAACTCCAATTGTTTAATATGGGTTGCCCGTCTGTTGGTATCACATCCTGTTGTTCCGTTTGGCGGCTTCTCAGTACCCCCCAGTTTGCATTCTATTCGATACTCAAAGTATCTACATACATTCTATAGGTCCACTGCTGGGGGCATTGGTTCGTCCTGTGGTTGCGTCTATGTAATACCCGAGTTCCTGATGACAGACCTGCGTCATTTGGTCCGCCTGCGGTTTGCCTACCTATTTTTCTTCTCCCAGTGAAGAACTGTGCAGTCTGCTAGTTCTAACCTGGCTGAACAGCTCGTCGACATGGTTCACCTCTTCCTCGCTCCTGAGACCTATGTTAACTAACCATCATGTGGGCGAAGGACCCATTTCCTATACGTATTGCTGAGATCCCGCAAAGTGACCAAGATTATGTTCTAGTCTTGGGCTCACACACTAGTGGGAGAATATATACAGTCAAATTCAGCTTGTGTGCCAATGGACTGCCATATAACATATTCTGGTCGGGGCCTGTGTTTGAAACACTCACCGAAGTGGTGCCTCCAGTTGCTAGCTACATTGAGGACATTTCCTTTAAATCGCACGAGCTACTGGTCACGTTTCCGACTGTTGGCTTTCCCCATTGAGATATCCAGGTACTCAGCCCTAGCAGCATGCAGTGCTATATCAATGGAGCCTACGACTATGTCTTGGACGGGGTGATCAAGCAACCGCGCTTACAAGACACCATACCAACCAACCCGTTATAGTCTCCCGAGAAACGTCCAGAACGCCTTTGATTGCAAAGGCATCTTGCTAATACTAATCCGCCAGCTATACCCAAGGATAAATCTCAGCACGGTTTGGGAGGAGATGAAGCGGGCTATATTCCACTTCAGAAGGCGCAATATTACGCTCTAGAAAGGAACAGTATTCTCAAAAGGTGATGCTTCTTTGCGTTAGGGCTCCAAGAAAAGCCCTTGGAAGAATGGCCAATGCAATCTATATGCACTCTAAACACACCAGGAATCGCAGAAGCAATGGAACTGGATTATCAAAATGGGAAGACCTAACTTGTATTGCTTGCATTGAACACAAGTGGAAACTGCCGAGTCATTCCGCTGCGATCCACTGTCCCCAAAGCTGTCAATAGGTCAGCGTCATTAGAAGGGCAAGTTCGATACAGGCTAGGGCTTCGGCACGATAAAGAAGAGTCAGACATGTGTTCAAAATCTACGATCGGAACTCAGACCTGGACAGAATTGATCGAGTTGAGAGTCGACAAAGCCGAGCGGTCTCGGCCGCGGCATTGGGCCTGCCCCTGCACCACCGACGCTGCCGCTAGAGTGGCATAAGCTAACCGCCATAACCTAGCCATACACCAGTCTAGCTGCCACCGCCCTCTGTTGCCCGTGGGGACTCCCAACAGCCCTGTGTTCCTTCCCCCCCTTCCCTCTCGGCGGGTGCGGACCTGTAGAATGTTTTGTGATCGTTGTCTACAAATTCACCATATCCCCAATCCTCGGGCATATCTGGGAATAGGTATCCGATTTCTTGCGGTTTAAAGTGACCGCGGAGCTGAGCGAAGCCTACAAGGAAAAATGGATCAGAAACCAGTATGGCTACTGGCTGGAAAAGGACCGCGGGTTTAAATCCCGCATGGACATTGCCGATGCCTACGACGTCGTGTTGCGCGCGTGGAGAGGAATGAATGTAAATTTGCCGGCGGGCAAATGGTTGTTCTGCGAAATATCCTCACTGTGCCAGCGATATAGGAATAACTGGACAGTTTTATACAAAGAAGGCTCGTCGAAAATGAAAGTTGCCATTCAAACTATCGTGGTAAGGGTGAAACCCAAATGGCAGTATCCTGCTCAAGCCTCTGTGAACGATCGGGCATTTTTCTGGGATAGCGAGATATAGGTCAGGCCTTTTGGCCACCACTGCCAATTCACATCTTGCTGAGTCTTTGTTACCAAGAGATACACGGCAGCATCCTAGATATGGAAACTGTCCGACGATCTGAACATCATAAAAGCGGCAACCAATACTGCGTTTACATTAACGGTGGAGATTCGAGATCAGTTTTGGGTATCTCCGGGTAAATATCTGGCATCGCAAAGACGCAGCCGCAACGAATCAGGCAGCTCACCGCATGGATTCGCAGCCTGCTACCATTTGCCGTGTTGTCCATAGACAGAGTCTATCACACTCAGCCGATGTGCTCGACCCTGAAAGCCCTGGTCCGCAATGTTTCAGGCTTGGGACTTCCACCCTCTCTTATATCATAGACGGTCAACGAATCCAAGTCAACATCTACTGTCAACTTCGAAGAGGGCCGTGATGGTGGGGGACTACAAACAACCGGGACCCCCAACTTTGAACAGGGAGCGAGAATGTGGCATAGCTCTGCATTGGAGAGATTGAAGAGGGCAGTTTCTTTATCGGTGATGCTGGATATCCAATATTGCGCACACGGCAGACTCTACAGTCGATAGAGCAATCCCGATAGGTAGAATCACTCGGCCTCGTATTTATTCATGGGAGTTTGGATTTCTTTCATATGCGGTTCCAATTTCCAGAGACGCGTCGCGCCCGATTTTAACAACGGAGGCAGAGATCGCAGTTTATTTGACCTCTGTTATCATGAAATATATCCGCAATTTCCTTGCCATATCACCATATAAAGTGCAAGTAGCGTTAGCCGCGCAGAAATGGGAGATACGCGGTAGACTGACGAACATGGGAATTGATGAGGAAGTTAACGACAAGATTCCAGTCTTCTATCCATTCGATAGCCTCTAACTGGCTACTATCTCAGGTAATATTTCCGGGAAATGCTGCTCAACCTGTGAGAGTAAGTCTTAGAATTCTTTCAGCAATAGCTGGTGATTCACTAGGTGGTTCTCAAGGATTCTATGTCAATCAGTGCGGACTATACCTAGGATCTAGAGACCCAGCGCCAGGGCTACGACTCAATCGCTCTCCAGGCGTTGTGTGGATATATTGATGGGCACACCCTGAACCCAAGGCTCTGCTCGAAGTCTGCGCCCGATTGGAGAGTTCATTACTTACAAATACTTGAGCACGCCGCATCCAAACCGTTGATGGTGTTCAGGGGGCAAAGGTCGACATTGTAATTGTCATGCTACCTAGGAATGATGTGTATGCAGATGTAATGGGCTCCCCATGCCGTCCAAACTTTGTGATATCCAGGGGCAGGTGTGGTGTTTACTACCTGAAGCCGATTGTATTGGAACATTCTTTGAATGCTTAGAAGAAGGGCCGTCTGAGGGACAGAGCAATATGTGCTGGTGACAATGACCCCCAACCAGCAACGATCAGTCGCATCTGAGCAAGAACTTTCAAATTTTTTTAACTACAACACGTACAATAATGCCACTCGATCAGCACAGAGTCTTGGGAGGCATGTCTCCGGCAGGACATTGCCCTGCAAGTTGAGCTTCGGCTGAAAGTTCCATGAAGACCAGTCGGCGACATTGAAAGAAAGGCCAGCAGTACTAATAGTTACAAGGTTCAAAATACAGCCACAGTTTAGGGTGTTTCTGAACTCATACAATGGTTATCCAGACGTCCTTTCAACCCCCCACTTCATACGTCTCTGTCATGGTGCGCTGTAGCACTATTACTACCATAGCCTATCTCTCCAGAGAAAGATTTGGTCCGAAAATATACAGTTCGCGTGCGCCAGTCAAATATCGACAGTACGGGTAACGATGCAATATCCAACTGCAGCTAGTGATGTCTCTTCGATAATACTGGGGCACAGTTGTACTCTCTACAAGTTTCCATAAAGAACGCAGACGCCAAGTATATCACACAATCTACATTGCATGCCATTACTGGTTTTCTGTTTCATTTGCAGAGGGCACTGCCCTTTTTAGAAAGAGAGTCATCTGCCATACGTCCTGCTTCATAGTGACATGACCATTGGCCATAGTGAAAGACAAGGATACAAGCCTATTAAGAGACTGGCTGGAAGCGTGGATCCGGGGAGGGCCACGGCAAAGACGGCCTATCTGTGGATACACTAAACATACCAATCAAAGGCAAAGTACATGGGCTTCCCATCGTAGTATATAATACTACAGCTTCCCTTGGCCGTTATGAAGCACGGGTTGACGGGCGATTCAGGCTTTCAGCTTTCTGAAATCTGCGCCGCAACGCATCCCATGAACTCGATCAACCAAACAATGGTCAATGAGTTTGAAATAGTGATGCCAACGCTATGTCTGTGTCAGGGCTGGTCCCAGGATTAGTGTACATCTGTTGCCTCTGAGAGTCTGATGAGTAGCTTACGCCCAAATCAAACCTGGAGGGGCTTCTTTGAGCAAGGTGGAGCAAATGCGCCCTGAACAAACTACCCTGTGTTTGATGATGAAGTCCATGTTCTCGCATACGCAGATATATGGATATGGCATCAATGAGCGACCTAGCACTGCACGAGCGTCCTTGTATATCGCACCACAAAGGCAGAGGGAGCCGCAGGTGCGATGAATGTCGTAGGTGCAAATTAGATATGCAGTTGATATACTATCTTCTGCATCAAAGTCTACAGATATCGAGAACGCTAGGGAACGGAAATGCGGCTCTTATTGTTAAAAGGTTTCTGCAAGTATGTGAAGAATGGTAGACTACCTACCATCCCTCGCCAAACTACAGGGTGGGCGATCGGATCTCAATGCTCACCCGCCCCGACTCCTCTCGCGAGCTTAATGAAGTCTTCGAGGACTAATTCCTCTATGTTAACTTAGAATCACGGACGGGAATAGTTGCAGCGGGTGAAACCCTCCTTGGCCCAGTAAAGACTCACTCGAATCGGGATGGATATTGGCTTAAAGCCGTCTGGGTGGATGAGCATGACTTAAACAGTCCATTGAACGAGATTGCCAAATTTCAACATGTTCTAGGTATGTGTCTAATCTTATCATACTGGCTCTCACTGCTATCTGAATGTACTAACTGCTCTGTATAGGTCAAATAGTCGAATACATGTACGACCTCGAAGGCGAATATAGGATTCTTTCGAATAATGAACAGACTCTCTTCTTAGACTGAATGAGGATGTCTACGACAGGCTGGAAAGTTCAATATAGTCCGGTCATTTCCCATGCCGCATCATATTCAATAGGATATGTCACTGTGCATTAATGTATTTGTTGTCTTGCCGAACGCCCCAGGGGAAGAAAGGACATCAAGCGTTTTCGGCAGACGATGGGTATGATATCGACATGACAGCATCGGGAGTTGGATAGCCGCCAACGACCGCCTCACAACTGCGGACGATGCCAGGAGAACCTATCTTTAAAGACTGTGTGGTCGTGCCTGGGGTTCAGCACGGAGCGCGTGCGCTATCTGTGGCTATTCCCCAGCCGTGTACCCTCTATGACAAGCTGGAGGCTGCCTGACCTTCCTGGATTATTTTTAGCAGTCTCGGCGCAGTGCCTCTGGGACCAACAAAGCGACTGTCATATGACCCAATCACGGCTGGCTGGCTTCTCACAGAGGTGATGTAAGGTGATCAGCAACTAATATCTAATTGAGCTGTCAACAAATCCCACTAGGGGAATATGTGTCAGAAGTTGGTGTCGATCAATCGATCACGCCTGGGTGGAACCTCAAACGCAGGGCAGTTGCCGTGTACATCCTCTTACTTTGAGGTTGAGGCAAGAACCAAGCATACGACCTTTAAGGCAAAAGGATTTGTAGAGGCCGAGACCCTTGCACCACATGCTTTGTTTCGGAATGCCTATGCCATCGTGTCCTAGCCCTATATGGCACGACAGACATAGAGGGTGTCGCTAGCCCAAGTGAAGATGGGTGGTTCATATCCGACTTTTACTTCTTTCATTATCTCTTGCCCAGGGAATTCCCCGAACCAGTTGTTTGGCAATGGGGTAGCTCCAGCATCCATGTAGTAAGTATTACACTGTTGGAACACCTCCGTAGCACCAACTGGCATTATGCAACCATTCATTCACCGATCTGTCACGGGTCACATCACCATGACCGTGACCATTGCGTCAACCAAACGTTGAGAACCTCAGTTGCTCAGGGCTGTTGCTTGTGGCTTCCTCATTCGACTTTCCCCTGTATCTTTGGATTTATTTGTGGACAATTCTCGCGACTTACAGCAATGGGTGACAGCTTCACGAAAACGCTTACTGTTACCAAGGTCATCAACGATCACCCGAGCTCGCCCACTTTCCACATCATGGGGGGGGCAAGTGTCGCCACGAGCATATAGAAGAGTTAAATATTGTTGTTTATGCTCCCAGTTCAAGGCCTCAGTTTCCCCCGAACTCGGCATCAAAGACGCAGCGGGCTCTCACTGTGGACATAGTGAATCAGTACACGATGACGCTTCTCAGGATATCCTCACTAGCACTCCAGCCAACGATACACTAGAAGATGGTTAGATTCTGCCTCGCTCACTCACTTCATGCGATAACTGATGATGTATATGACAAACAGACATCGACTCGCGTTTCATATCTCTACGTGAAGATACTGTCGTTCAGCTAGCAAATCTCCTCGAGAAGGAGAAAGTTGTTCATGCGATTTCTGCTACGACGCCGATATTATTATCAGAGACACGGGTTCAGTATTTGAAGCTGAGCTGATGTATGCAGTAATTACTACTAGCACGAATAAATAACTTTCCTCAAACTATAATCATATCTAATCAAGAATTGTGGAAATCCACGGAGAACGCTATTCCAACATTGCAGCTTAAAACACAGCTGCTAAGTGAAGCCCTGAAGCACCACTTGCTGAGAGCACTTCAGCGCATCACCCTATTAATGTAGACATATTAGGTGTTGAATCTGTCCTGCTGCTTGTCTTGCACTTACAAAGTCAATCGTTGTGCATAGATGCGCTTGGTTGATTTTCAGACTCTACCAGTAGATCTTACATATTAGATTGAGCGTACACCGTTAGGGAATGATATCGAAGAATAAGTGACCCCTGACCAACGGGTCCCCTCCCTGAATGCTAATCAAACCCAAACACCCCTTTTCCCTCCCGGCCAGCGAAGACGAAAGACAAAGGCTATCATGAATACCATGCAACAAATAACTCCGGGATCCATGCGTTCGTGAGACATGATCGTGCTCGTCTTTTAGCGAGCTGGGAATTGCACGCGAATCTCGCAGTGCAGACTGAGTCCTATCCTGTATGGTGGGCCTTGCACTTGATAGCGTAGCAAAAGTGGAAACCTCCACTACCAAGATTGAGCAAGACGTCGGACTCCATCCCAATGAGGATATCCAAAAGTTTGGCCATTGCCTTTGTTCAATCGATCAAAGGCTTCTTCTGGTTACCGACAATGGCTACTCCGAGATGACGAAGAGCGTTAGGGTCACTGGGTCGTACTATCGAGGGTAAGGGCAACATGGGGTTATCTGGGTTGACATGGACAGCATCTCGAGCGGCCTGCTCAATGGCATCCATTTCTTCTTTGCACCCGGCGTGATCAAGAGGACAAACAACTATTGGCTGTCGAATAACAATATCCCTTGCAGATGTCAAGTGGGCCTATGGCGAGTGAGCTTCATCCTACTAAATATTCGGAAGGGTGTGGGCGAACTGAATACGAACCTTTACCGTTAAGTAGTACTCTATCTTGTAAAGGCTTGCGGTGGTCGTGAACCCGCTCACTGCATACATCGGAAAGGCAGCTTTCCCTCTAGGAAGGATTCCCTCCGTATCTCGCATATCCTTCGCTGGAAACACTAAGCCGAGGTTTGTCAAGAAACCAGAAGGCGGCAGCTTCATTCCAATGTGCTCAGTCCTCTTTGTTAAGGTTTTCACTTTCCTCTGCGGCTCATCACCTTCGTGGTTATATATGATTTCTTCGTCGATGCCAATAGTAATTTTACTTATTGTAACCTTTCGAGCCTTGCTCATCCAGTCCGGGTTTGGAGATAGTTTGATATAGACGCTCACTGGGTCCAGTGGGCCATAAGACCACCGTGGTAATGAGATGCCCAGAGTGACCAGGTGATCTGTTACCCGTTCTGCTGACTCGGGACGGTTATACATCCCGAACGTAGAAAGTGTATCATAGCGTGCGATTGGCACTGGAAAAGTGTATTTTCTCTGATCTGAATGTCCTTGTTGGACCATCACCACAATCTCGTAGTATGTCTCCGCCGTTCGACTCGGAAGTTGTAGACTCGCCGGAGGGACTCGCCGAGACGCATCTAGCCCACTGCGCCCGAAGGGGATGAAAAGCACGAAAGGTAGGTCCATAGAGATAACCTCCTCATATTCTCGACCGGCGGGGCAGCGAAAGAGCAACATCTCCTTGCCCACGATATCTGTAATCTCTTTCCGAGGAGGGGCCAGGTGTTTCTTAGTAACGGAGTCCGCCGAAGGGTGTATTGTCTCACGACGGTGGAGGGAAATGGTAACGAGCGATACATTGACGGGAGCCGTGATGCCGACACTGGGCCTAATCTCAACCTTGCCTTCAATCCGAGGCTAGTCAACCGGTTATTGCGACGCTCATGGCATATCAAGGGGAGGGAAGCCTAACACTCACCATAGTTGCGGATATACCTGGATACCCGATCAGAAAGTTGCCATTCGGCGGCCCCGACACTCGCACGAAGGCGGCCATGCTGAGAGCGCTACACCCGCACCACCATGGGGCGGCTGAGAGGGATGCGCTCCGGAGCTTATCCGGGGGGTATGCGACCTCGACGACCTCAAACTCCTTGAAAGGCTCATAGAGACCGGCTGAACCAGCGGTTTCCGCTTGAACGCCTTGCGCCGAAGCTTTTGCGACGGCGCAGTTGCGGTAAGCGGCTCGTGTTGTCCTGGAGAAGCGCTCGGACGACCCAGGAAACGGAGCACGTCCCAGTGGATCGCAAGAGGATGGACGGATTATCGATTGGCAAGGACCGAAGCCAAAGGCGCAGATGTCTCAGGTTTCTTGGAAAGTGAAACCGGGGAATTTTTAAATAAGCGTAAAAGGGCACAGGAATAGGTGTCGAATAGCCGCCTATGTGGGGGTGGGTGGAAGTTGTGATTGAGGAGCAAGTCGATTGCGGCGGCTACAACAAGTACCTCTTGTCGAGCCTCGATTCGATCGGCGGCTTTGCCAACCCTTTCCGGTTTAACATGCACTCTCCTCCGTCAGCGGATCGGCAACAACTCATTTCCATGAATACGAGTCTTACCTTTTCACGTTCAAGTGTAATACTTTATTCTCCTTTTCTTTTACTCCTATCTCTTTCGGTTCGTCAATATGATGGTTCACGCGAGGTTAAGCAGTACTGCCATCATGCACAGGCCCTATTTATAAATAAGACTTGGTGAACCACTGGTACACTTTATATCTCGAACCCACTAGACCCAACAAGGCTGTGTCTCATTGGCCTCGACCGCCTGTCACTGCCCTGTGAACAGCCCCCCTTCATTTCATGTACATATGTATGTCTCGGGAAACAGAGACAACAACGTGGTAATCTTATTTACATAGCGACCCATCAGGCTACAGTGGGAAGTATCTAGTTATTGGAACACCTGTTTAGAGCCTAGTGGCCGATTTAGTGACCGCCTACTAAATAGGTCTGTTCTGCCACCCAGAAACCTCCTGAGTTCACCTGGCAACTATCTAATACTATAGTAAAATGGTAGGCGGTAGGACTGGTGCACGGCTCCCTCCTGGCCGTGTTCCAATAACTACCAGGATCGAGTGCTGTCCACTTCTTCACTGTTTGGTGCTTACGTCATTATCGATATATGTATAATTTCCTGCAAATGACAAGATCAATTAAATTTGTCCAGCCAACAGGAAGATATCACACTCAATCTTGAAACAATCTTTATTGTAGTAGGGGTACGGTACTACACATGTTTCACATAGTGAGCACGGCCGCTCGGTTGAACTTGCTCCTCTGCTGGAATGTCAGCGAGAGTGCGGCTGCTAACAGCCACCTTGGAGGGATAGGGAGAGTATCGGAAGCCGATTGATGCTGAAGCCCGGACACTCTAATGAATCCCCGGAACTATAACCATTATACTACTATTCGAATGCGGAGTGGCATAGTAATGTCGTAGATAATTTGAGAACGGGACATTGCTGTCGATTCTGATAGACTGGTATTGAGAATTAAATGACTTGTTTCGAGTTTTGGAATCTGCGCAGGATTAGAATATAGGAATGTGCGGGACTACATAGTCCTATGTCAATAATTGAAAGTGTCTCTTTAGAGGTGATAAAGGTGAGAGATAGAGTTGGCGACAAGGGTTTATTCATGATAATATATATATATTCTCTACCTCCTCAAAGCCGGAGTCTGCCGGACACATTGTCAAGGCTACCGATCAATATTTGACGATATTAGATAGCCCATCTAGGGCTCCCAGTACTGATTCAATTGATACCTATCACTAGTATCTTTATTTTTTTGCTCGAAATAATCAGATAGAGCTGTGACTATTTCCGAGTAGCCGCATTCGGACAAGACAAAATAACTAGTGTTGCTGGCAACTGCCGCAACTATGTATAACCTAGAGGGCAGAAAAAGAAATGCGAGCAACGCAAAAATAAAAGAAAGAAAACTAGATGCTTCTGAGTATATCTTGTAGAAGAGGAAGAGCAATACTATTTATTATATTGTTATTCATGAAATCTATTAGTTGCTCTCGCCCAACGGCCGTCCTGATGTAAATGTAGATTAAGGGTTTCGGTTGCCATGTGCAACAGCCAATCCAAACTTTATGACATCGATGTCCCCACTATCGTCGAACTACACAATACTGGTTTGACCCCAGACCAGACCGTTCTCTCCACCCTGCATCTTAGCACGTTGTTGGTCCCGACTATCTTTCTTCAACGTATCCATTCTTAATCGCAAAGATATCGCAAAAATGCCTCCCACTCGTCGTCGTGGCGGCCAGGCTGCGGCCACCCGCTCGAACCAGGCTACCCTCTCATTCGGATCTAAGTCCAGGGTTACCAAGCCATCGGTGACACCGACGCAAACGCAGAAGACCAAAGACCTTGAACCGCTTATCGCCTCTATTGCCGAGAAAACTCCAGAGCCTGAACAAGTGTCGGTTACACCCACTGAGCCTTCGCAGCCGCATGTGGCGGAGCTTGCTGTGAGGCAACAAGCTCAGGAGGAAATTGAACAGCCCTTGTCGAAAGAAGACAAAAAGGCGATCAATATTACCGAGAAGGACCTACAGCAATACTGGAGGAAAGAGGAAGAAAAGATAAGGGGGCCTCGGTGTTAGTGTTCCCCCTGTTCATCCCCGATAACAGCTACACATTGCAGGGTCAAAACGCTAACGGTATACGCGACAGTTCACCAGCAAGACCTCACACTACATGAAAAGATTCTTCGACATTTCGATCTTTCCAGTCAATTTGGGGTACGTTTGCTTCATGCATCATAAGTTCCAATGTGTCCAGCATTTTATGGTGCCCAAGGAGAACGTCTAGCTGACTGATATCTAGCCTTGCATTGGAATTGCTCGGTTGAAGCGATGGAGACGTGCGAATTCTTTAAATCTCAACCCCCCAATTGAGGTCTTGACCGTACTACTCAAACACAAAGATGATGTGAAACAGAGGGCATACGTCGACGAGCTTCTGTCCTGAGCCACCATTCCACTGTACAAATAGCCTTATCAGGCGCTTGGGTATTGGCGTGCAGGATGGAGATACGAAGGCAAAGAACGAAACATCAGAAACACTAGGCGGAGAGAGGGTGGAACCTTCTGGGCTATCCAGGCTTAGATGCGGTATTCCCGGCCTCCCACAGATGAGTATCGAAGGTATATGGCATTGGGTTTATTATTCGGAGCAGGGCGTTGGGAAAACATTGTATATACATACCCTCGATTGCGGTAACTTAGGTGTTCACAGTATAGGTGTGACCCAAGTTACAACGGATTTGGTCTTTCACTTTCTCTGACATTGCGCATCTACTCATTGATAGCGTAGAAATTCCTAACCAACTACGTAAATGGGCTAGGGAAGATGGATTTCCCATTGGTGAGTTCCCAAGATTCCACCAAGGGGGAGACAAAGACAAATTCCTCCACCACAAAGAACCCCCTTAGCGACAGCCACACGCAAACAGACAGTGACTCGCCTAGGTTACACTCGCTTTGTTCTCGGCCACGTCCCATTGCACAAGATCCTAGTAGATGTCTTACTTTTCGGGTGGGTGGAAACCTATCAGCAAAGTCCCGAAGCCGTCTCACTGGACTTTGTGTTCTTGGTATAGGTTGTTTTGATTCGTCACTTGTGACACGTTGACCCATGCCTCGATGGCTCCGCCATGTCTTACCTTTGCCCTTATAGCAAATGAATGGCAGGAAGAGTAAGATTACATCTACCGGCCAGAGTGCTAAATATGTGGTCCAGTCAGATTGAGTGGCTACTGCAAACCAATACGTGCTTGGTTACATCTCTAGCCCTAATGCGTCTACTGTCCATGGGAATTGTCCTACTTCAGGTCTCTGATATTGACAACTTTAGAGTCTTGTTGTCTTTCGATTAGCAAAATATCGAAATTGTTTGTACGGACTTGACCAATAACCGAGCCAGATACCTGTATAGCCCCTCATCCAAGTGGAAATCCAGCGTATAAGTGCAGAACACCCTGGTCCGAGCCTACGTATGCCTTCTGCAATAGTGAAGTCAATAGGCCAAAGGGGCATCATCATTAGCATTGCTTACGCCCCTCTTCCTCCCCTTGATCATTCTCAGGGTGTACGGAGTACGTATTGGGGGCACCGCCAACAGCACTAAGGTCTTACTCCCCAGATGTACCAGAGAATAAACTCATGTAGGGTTCAGGTTGCATGTCACATGGCGTGACAGTCCAGGAACGATTGGATAGACATCTCCCAACCAGAAAAATCGCACCGTCCTGACCAGAGAAGCTTGTAATGGAACAAGCTCTAATCTTAAAGCTAATAAGCATGTGATGCAATTCCCTGAATCTGGTGAATCGTTCCCCCTCATGGCTTATAAAAAGACGCCCATTTCTCCCGAGCCATGTAACTCTCTGTCTCCGTCACCGCTCGTTAAAATCTCGACACTCGTTTTGATATCGCTCCAACATCCCCTCTTTCCCCTTGACAGACATCTCTCAAAGTCGCCACAATGCAGCTCGTCCACCACTTGATCGTCCTGTTTGCCAGTTTGGCCGTCGCCCAGAACCTCCCCAACATTCCACCTTGCGCAGTAAAGTCCACCATGCCCCCCCCATCACAACCACCCAGCAACACTAACCAATCCTACAGGTGTCGTGTCTCATCACCGCTCTGCAAGGCGATGGGTGCCCATCCATAACCGACTTCGCCTGCCACTGCCAGAAACCCGAGCTCGTCCCGAAAGTCACTCCATGCGTCGCACAAGCCTGCCCTCTCGCCGAGCAATCTTGTACGCCTTTCACCAACCCCTATGAAGTCCAGGAACTAACAGAAGAACTCTTTTTCAAAAGCTGTCTCTAGGGTCGTCGTTTCCGCATGCTCCTCAGCTGGCCATCCCATCAGTGTCCCCAACCCGGGACCCTCAAG